CCCCCCCCCTTAAAAAAAAAAAAAAAAAGCACCAGCCAATTTATATCCACACGTGCATGAAGACGAAGATGGCAAGCTAGCGAATGTTTAGTGGTATTTGTGATTCGACCGGTGGTGGTGATGGTGGTGCTACTGGTGGCGGTAGAGTAGGAAACCAGTGAAAGTAGTGATGGTGCCACAATTATTATGACCAATGGGTTGACACATACAAGTGTGCAAATGACAAAGATGGCCAACTCGCAAATACTTGATGGTTCTGAGATTCTAGTCAGTGGTGGTGGTGGAGACTACAAGAACTTTGTCTTTTAGCCGTGAAAATTATTGTGGTTAAATGCATAAAAATTATCACTATATACTTTAGTGACAATATTTTTATTGCACTAGGCCGCAGCAATATGTGTGTGGCTAAATCATTTAACTATGACATTTAATTGTTGTCACTAAAAATAAATTTTTTAGCCGCACCATGAAAAATGTCATTGAATGTGAAATTTTTGACCGCCATGCTTATTGTAGCAAGTAAACTAAATTTTGCCACTAAAATATGCTATATCATCACTAAAAGTCCAATTAAAACTTGACGTTTAGTCACAACAATTAATTGCATCTAAAAGTATACATTTTATCCACAATTCAAATCACCACTAAAATTTGAAACAGAAAAGCCTAAAATCACTACTAGAATTTGAAACAATGAAAAGCCTAAAATCAGCTAGAATATAACAACATCAATATCTTGGACGCAGTTACAAGAGGCAACAACAGAAACTGTTTACAAGAAAAACAGTAACTGTTTTATTAAAACTGAAAAATGTTCCAAGAACAATTATGATCATGTTTTCAACTTGTCTTTAGTCTTCGGAGGCGAGCCTTCCAAAGCTGTTTTCAGAGCTTCCACTTGTTTGTACCTAACATAAATTACCCAACATTAATAAAAATTCAATGAAGAAAATCAAGAGAAGACATATTGGAGATGATTCAAATATATATCAAGACTACATAACTAGTTTACTCAATTTAAATGTAAAGATATTATACATCAAGACTACATAAAAGTAAGATTACTAACCCATGAAATAGAACTTTTCCAACTTAAGAGATCTTACCCTATCACAATGATGAGAGGTAAGAATTTGCCCCGACTCTTTCATTTGCTGAAAAAATGTGGTGAGCTGAGTTTGAAGCACGGCATGCACCTGTGTTTGTATCTCAACATGCATATTGGACTCTAAGGACTTTAGTCGTAAAGCCAAATCACTGTTTTCCTTCTCCAACGACTCCCAACGCATCCTATTTGTTTCAGCTTGCCACTTCAATTCCTCATTCTCCTTCTCTAGTTGTGCACGGATGCGCTGTCCAGCTGTAGATGTTGTGGGCTTTGGACCAGCCCCACGACCACGTATATATCCTGATTTTTTCGGACCGAGCACTGCTTCAAACCTCTGATCCTCAGTCATGGGGGTAGCTCCTTCCTCCATTGATTGAGCCTCTAGCCTCTTAAGGTCGCTCTACATTTGGAAAGATTATAATTTAGCATTATGTAAGAAGATATTTCAAGGAAATGGAGAAGGATAGGATAACTTACATAGACTTTTCCCGATCTCCTGCCAGCCCAAGCATTCCTCTTCATACTAAACTTGGTTGTTAACCACAGTTCCGCACGGTTAGGCTCCTCTCCAGTCTCGGGATCACGCTATCATGCATTAAACATTAATAGAATGATTTTACATAAATATGCATGTATACATGTATATAATTAATCACATAAGTGAAATATACATTTAAAAAACAACTCACGCTATCGTAACTAATTCGAGCGAAACTCTTCGTCCCAGCAATATGACCCATGTCTTGTTTTGCTCGGTTCTCCTTGTTTCTTTCACTCATTTTCTACATTTGTAATTGTCCCACGGTTCCCCTTGTTTCTTTCACCCATTTTCTACATTTGTAATTGTCCCAGAGAAAATTACAAACACTTCTAAAACCAACTAAACTGTACCCAAATATTAAACACAGAAATCAGTAAAAAGAGAAAAGGAGAAAAGGAAGAAGATTAATTAGTCAATGTCTTCATAACATAATGGTAAATTATTGTCATGATAACCAGAAGAAAAGAGTTGGCAGAATGTGATTATTATCTCACGATCTTTTGTATGAAATCGCAAACCATTAATGATGTAAGCCTTATATCTTGCCACTCTTTTGTCCGGGCCTCGTGCTATGTTTAGAAGTTGATTGTTGACATGTGTATTCTCTTGCTTGCACAATTCTGTAACCTGTTTATAATCATGAACGAAGTAATTAGTATGATGTAGTAATTTATTGTGTGAAAGTAATAGGAATTATATAGCACTTACATGATCTTCAAACCATTTAGGAAACCTTTCTTCATGCCTCTTTTGAACATTCCTTAGAGACTCTTAATCTATCTCCTTTCTGTGTTCACTAAACACAATAATAAGGAATAAGAATCGCTTGGCAATGGGAGAGAAACAAATTTCATCAAATGCATTTGGATAATTTCCTTACCTAAGAAAGGGCAAAATTTCATCACAATTTTTCAACACATAGATACAAGCCTGCTGCCAAGCTCTGTCATCAATATACCCATAGTCTCCCTTCCCCAATGCACGACAATTCTGGGAAAAAATTGACTACCCTTGATGCATTTGTTTGTTACTTCCTTCATAATTTCTCTCTACTCTATTGAATCTTGTCTCAATCCCATGCAAGTATATTGAACAAAACGTCAGGCATTCTGTTGCAAGATAGTCTTCTGCAATTGACCCTTCTGGAAAAGCTTTGTTACTCACATAACACTTCAATGTATGTAAGTACCTAACAACACAAAAAAAAAGAGTGATATGATTCAACATCACAAGCATCTGATTTACATTAAGAGTATCAAAAGACACTACCTTTCAATCGGATACATCCATCGGTATTGCACTGGTCCAGCGAGAATTGCCTCCCACGCGAGATGAATGACCAAATGCACCATAATATCGAAGAATAAAGGTGGAAATATCCTTTCTAGCTTGCAAAGTGTTACGACAACAAGGCTTTCAAGCCGCTCCAACACATCTTTTTTCAACGTCCTTGAGCACAACTCCTTAAAAAAATGGCTAATCTCAATTAGTGCCTCAGACACATCATCAGTTAAAGATCCACGTATTGCAAGTGGGAATAACCGTTGTAAAAGTACGTGACTATCATTACTCTTCATGCCAACAATTCGACATTCCTTACTATTCACACATCTTGATATGTTTGAAGCGTAGCCGTCTGGGAATTTCACAGAAGCCGGGAACTTACAAAAATTCTTTTTTTTCAGCCATGGACATTGTGTAGCATGCTGGAGGCATTTTATAGGAACTACCATCAAGCTTCATGTGTAATTGATGCCTTATACCCATGGTTTGCAAGTCAAGACGAGTCTTGATGTTGTCCTTTGTTTTACCATCAATTTTCATTAAAGTAGCCAAAATACTATCACACAAATTTTTCTCCACGTGCATGACATCCAAATTATGTCGCAGTTTAAGGGTTTTCCAATAAGGCAATTTGAAGAAAATACTACTTTTTGTCCAACTTAACTGCTCGTCACGCTTCCTTTTCTTTGGTTTTGTCTTCCCAAATTTTACTGTTTCAATGTGACTCAATGGCTCAAGCACATCATCCCCAGAAAGAGATATCGGTGCCTCCCGAAGTTCTTTTTTTCCATCAAAAGAATTCTTTTTATGTCGCCATACATGATCGATTGGTAAAAAGCGTCGATGACCCATGTAACAAATCTTTTTTCCATTCTTTAGCCACATAGATGACGTCTCCTTATTGCAGGTAGGACAAGCCAAAAATCCTTTAGTACTCCATCCTGATAAGTTGCCGTATGTTGGGAAGTCATTTATAGTCCATATAACTGCAGCATGCAATAGAAAATTGGCACCAGTGAAGGCATCATAAGTCTGAACACCATCCTCCCACAACTCTTTCAACTCTTCTATCAATGGCTGCAAATATACATCAATGTCATTTCCTGCAGATTTGGGTCTTGGAATTAGCATTGACATAATGAAAAAGAGATCCTTCATACATTTCCATGGTGGTAGGTTATATGGAACACGAAAAACAGGCCATATGCAATAAGTAGTGCTCATGTTTGAAAATGGATTGAATCCATCACTTGCTAGCCCAAGCCTAACATTATGAGGATCTTGGGCAAAGGATTCATGCATTTTGTCAAATTCTTTCCAGGCTTCTGTGTCAGCTGGATGCCTCGGCAAACCATCATCGACGTGCTTCTCTATGTGCCACCGCATATCTAATGCTATCTTCTTTGAAACAAATAACTTTTGTAGTCTTGGTTTTAGTGGGAAATAACGTAAGATTTTTTGAGGAATCTGCTTTCGTTTTCCCTCATCAAATTTATATCTAGGCTTCTTTGCATTCAATACACTCTTGTTTATCTTTGTGCTCCTTCCAAACTAAGATGCAGTCGTTTTTGCAAGCATGAATCCTTGTATAGTCAAGCCCCATGTCACGAATGATCTTTTTAGCCTCATAATAGGAGCTAGGAAGTGTCTCACCAACAGGAAGTGCCTCCTTAAATAGCTCGAGCATCATACTAAACATTTTATTACTCACTCGATTTAGTACTTTCAAGTGCAATTGGTGAACTTCTTGCAACCCGGATACAACTGTTGGTTAGCATCCTTCAATAATCTCATAAATTTATTTGTTTCCCAATCAGGCACTGCATTCCCAGTAATGTTCAAATTCTCTCCTTCCCAAGCATTCACAGTTGCCGCAGTGTAATGTTCATAAATCATTTCTTGCATATCCTCGTGATCATTTTCATCTTCTTCGTTAGGCTCATCATCATCATCGTTGTTGCTCAACTCAAACTCTTCCCCATGAAATACCCACATAATGTAATCTTTAACTATATCATGGTAATACAAATGAGTTTCCACATCATCATGAGTTTGAAAATAAACGTTATTGCATTTCACACACGGACAACATATCATTTTCCCAGGTTCAGTGTGGGCAAAAGCGAACTCCATGAATTTTTTAACTCCTTCACGGTATTCAAGGCGTCGTCTATCCCTAATCCCCATCCAAGTCTTATCCATCTGTCCGCACCCTATCCCGAAGAATAAGAGGATTCCCTGTAGTAAATTAACAAATTGAACAAAGAAAAATCATGGAATCCCTATGTTATAAGCAAAATATTAATCCCCACAACACAAAGCTTTCAATTCTTGTAAGCAAGAAAACATGGGAGGGGCTCTATAATGAATTGGTACTTGAGGTATTAAAATTAAAACCATTTGTTGTTTCAGAGAATTGTAAATGGAAGCAAGCTAGGCAAAGAAGTGTATCTTTCCATTTCCTTCTGTTGAGGTCACAAGTCACTAGCCCATTATTTTAGAAGTGCATAAAATTATATTTGAGGAGGTTACATTGAAAAATTCTGAACTCTAACCTTATGAAGTGAGAAAGAACTACATATATCACAGAAAAAAATTCAAGCACGTGCTAAAAGAAAACAAAATAATGACAAGGATTCCATAGTCTGAGGCTGCACTGCGCATGCATTGAATCTTAATCAAGTCAGCTCTTAAAAGTGAAGACACCATGTATATTTACTAATCTTTGATGATTGGAAATACACATGGTATTGAAAGGCACATCAGCCATTAGATATTTTAACTAGCACTTTGCATTGTACAAGTGCCGACACTTTGAGATATGGTTCATTCCATTATAATAACGAGAGAAGGTTCACCACTTCAAGATGACTACTATAACGAATACTCTACTGTACAGCTTTACCAATTGGTCTGTGGGAGATTTAAACTGCAAGCTAAGCAAAACAATTAAGGGCTTTCCTCAATCCAATTTTGATTTTTAAGCCATAGGAGTGAGAAAGATTTCTCTCTCTCTCCCTCTCTCTCTCTCTCTGTCACACACACACACACACACATGCACAAATATATACAAAATAAGATGAAAGAAATTAAAAGTTGTAACTGGTGATAAGTCAAATTTGTTACCATTACTTGTTGCGAATGCTCTGATGTTATAGAAGAAGTAGAATAGTCTAATATGCCTGATTGCGATAATTTCATTTTAGGGAAATCAGGAATCCTTTTTACCAGATCCCAAAACACAGAGATTCAAACAATATAAACACAGGATAGCTACTTAAAACTATGTTAAAAGCACAATAGAAGATTTACTCCGATAACAGGTTGTATAAATGTGAGAACAGAGAAGCATTGGCAGAAGTTTCATTCCTCGAGAACAGAGAAGCAAAACAGAGAGTAGAGAGAGGAGCTTACTAAGGCAATTCGTAAAACTCCATTACTGAATAGCTTCGTCTTCTTCAGATCTGCTGTGCAATCACCGAGAGGTTGAGAGACATAATGCCCTAGCCGATCACTGAGCTCGTGTTTGAGATAGAGGTCGAGAGGTCGCGATCGCGAGAGAGAGAGGAGGGCCAGTGTGTGAGAGAACGAAAGGTCGAGAAAGAGAGAGAGAGGGAGAGTGAGCTGAGATATAAGGTTTCAGGCAAAATACATGGGCTGAGAATCAGGCAAAATACATGGGCTCAGAATCAGCTGCAGTAAAAAAAAGTGTAGTGACTAAAAATAATTAGTGATAAAAAAAATTGTTGCCACTAAATTATTTTTCCATCAAGAATTAATGACAAATAGTTAGCTTTTAGCCATAATAATGAAACTGTCACTCATTAAATTTATTATATTATATATAGTGACAATAATTATTTTTTAACACTAAAAATTTAAATTTAATTAGTGACTAAATTTAAATTGTTGTCACTAAACATTTGGAATTAGTGGCGAATTAGTGATATATTTTTTGCCGCAACATTCAAATTGTCACTAATTATATTTACTATCATATCTTCAGTGGCAATAATAATTTGTCACCACTAGTTATATATCTTTTGTGGCGATAAATAATTATGATCACTAAATAATTTGAATATCATATTCTTAGTGGCGATAATAATTTTTGTCATTGAAGATATATATTTAGTGACAATATTTTTAACTGTAATTTAAATCGAAGATATATATTTAGTGACAATATTTTTAACTGTAATTTAAATCGAACAGCTAAAAGTACAATTTCTTGCACTGAGAAGACAGCCGAAGGTGGTGATGGTGCTATGAATTCACTAGTGAGCTGACCTCCGGAGATTGTGGTGTTGATTTTATTAGTGAAATTGGATAGTGAAATATATTTCATTGTTCAATTTTCACTGCATAGGCAGTGAAATGAACAATAAAATAAATAATTTATTGTCTAAAGTAAAGAAAAATTGGACATCAAAAAAATAAATATAGGGTAAAGTACATGATTGAGATTGCAAAAGGATCCAATTTCACTGTCTAAAACCACTGTCATTTCACAGTGAAATTGAAGTCATTGGATAGTGAAAGACGAAATTTTTGTCTAAATTTCACTATAAAAGGGTCGATCGTGACTACAACAGTGTGGCAGTGATGATCATACAAAACTACTTCGATGCCAACAATAATGACTATGATTTCGACTCAAACAGTAACGACTATTATTTTGATTCAGGCGACCATGACTGCAGAGAGAAAGAGAGAGAGAGAAGAGTTTTGATTTGAGTATCCAACTTACACACAAAATTTTGAATAGAGTAAAGAGACAGAGAGATGGAGCACAGAAAGACAAAAGAGGGAGATGGAGAAAATACATAAGATAGAGAGATTGAGAAAAAAGAGAAAAAATGGGGAGAGATGTGGAAGAGAGATTGTGTTATGCAATTACATCTGCTGAACTAAAAATTGAAAAAATATGTTCATCAATTTTCCCCACTCTGTTTAGAAGAATAACAATTAGAGGCGAAAACTATATAAACAAGCAAAATACAAGAAAGGTCAAAAGTGAAAACTTACAATAAAATTTTTTATAAATGTCAACATTCATGACTATTTAAATAAACTACTTTCATAAGATCGATCTCCTTTATGTCATTTTTACCATCCAATTTTTAAGGATGGTAATTTTTTAATGAGATTGATACACAACCAATCAGTTGACCTTTTAATTCAAATTTAATAATCAAAACTTTATTATTTGTTATAGCAAAAGAAAATGGGCAACAATAATCAAAGCCCTACTAACTATATACTAATTAAAAAATAACAAAAATTATCAAAATCAAAAAAATCAAAAAAATAGTTTATGCATAATCTCTCACAACCGCTCCAATTGAATCTCCTAATATCTCCTTTCCATTAAAACTATTCACTCAATTGATTGGATAAACGTTGATGGAATTCAAAAATGAAGTCCAAAAAGTTGAAGAGATTAAAATGGGATACCCAAGATATAAAAATTCAAAGGAAGTCATGTTTATAACTGATGTGACCGAAATTTATTAGGCCCAATTAAAATAAACCATGAAGCCCAAGTACTCAGAACCAAAGATAGAGCCCAAGGGAAGTTGGGCTGATCCGTCAAGGGGAAATTCAAGAAGACATTAAGAGACGGACGTCCAAGAGGCGGACGTCTAAGAGGTCAGCACCCAAAGTACTTGGGGCACCGCCCAGGGGTCACCCAAGCACCCAAGGTTGCCCTTTGTCCTCCTACGCTCTCTTGACTCCAAGGCAAGCCCAAGCCTACTTCGATTTAAGTTCAAGGTCAAGACCAAGTTCAGGACCAAGCTCAAGATCAAGATCATCCTCCGACGGAATAGGGACACGGGCGAGAGAATATCGGGATACGAAAATCTAGTCCTATTAAGATTATACTTACCAAAATTGTGGAAAGACTTTTCACTTACGTCACCGCCTCACCGCTTTACCCTAACTATATAATGTACGCCCACTCAACATTTAGGGCACGCCTCTGAAGCCTCTACACCTCCCATTGTACACCCTCCTCTCTCCTTCTCCAAGCACTGTAATACTCTCCGGTGATTTCATTCATTAATAAAAGACTCAAGCCACCGCTGCCATTTACAAGAGTGGAGTAGGTCACCTATACCGAACCACTATAAACCTCAGTGTTAGCCCTTTATTTACTATTTTATCATTAATTATTTGTTTATTGCTCATTGACTGCACCCATTCATATTCTTGACTGTTGATTTTGCACAAAACCAATTTGTGCATCATCAGTTTGACGCCTTCTGTGGGATNCATTCATATTCTTGACTGTTGATTTTGCACAAAACCAATTTGTGCATCATCAGTTTGGCGCCTNCCTATACCGAACCACTATAAACCTCAGTGTTAGCCCTTTATTTACTATTTTATCATTAATTATTTGTTTATTGCTCATTGACTGCACCCATTCATATTCTTGACTGTTGATTTTGCACAAAACCAATTTGTGCATCATCAGTTTGACGCCTTCTGTGGGATTCGACTAGTTTTCCTACTCTTTTGATCCATGACAATCACTACCAGATCAATGAGTCAACAGCCAGGAGATAATAACCCGACCCACCGGGAGGAGGCTCCACCTCCCCTTGCGCCTGTAGAACCATCTAATACTACTACTCCCACCACTGGACAGCAGCAAGAACTCCTCCAGACCATGCAGCTGCTGGTGAGCCAGAACCAGCAAATTATCCAACTCATGCTCTCCCAAAGAGGTGTCGCCCTTCTCGTAGGAGGAGTCCCACTCCCCCCACCAGGAGAGGAGCAACTACCTATCCTTTCTAGGCACCAGGTAGGACCACGCTAGGGTGCCCCTCACCTAGTCCCTCCTCAGCGCACAGGGATTCCACGAGTGCCCCATCCTCATGAAATTGTGCAGGGGAACGAAGATAAAGAAAGTTAATACGGAGACAATGAAAGCCAATACCACCACCCAATGCAGGATGTTCCTAACCAATGGGACAAGAAAATCAGAGAGGTACAAAACCAACTCGGTGATGCCCACAATGCCATCAAAGCACAGGCGCCTGAAACCGTGGACTACTTGGTAAGGTGCACTGATACCCCTTTCATTGCTGATATCCTTACCTACCCTCTACCCTCGAAGTTCAAGATGCCCACCATCGAGATCTTTGATGGCACCAACGACCCCCTAGACCATTTGGATACCTACAAATCCCTTGTGCAACTCCACAATGTGCCTGAGGAGATAATGTGTAGAGCCTTCCCTACCACCTTGAAGGGGTCTGCTCGACAATGGTTCTCCAAGCTCAGGCCCTCCTCCATCTGCTCCTTCGCCGAGCTCGACAAGTCCTTTGTCTCCCACTTCATTGGGGGACTCCGACATTAGAAACCAGTGACCCACCTGCTCATAATCAAGCAGGATAGGGAAGAAAGCCTTAGAGACTAGCTTGCCGGCTTCAATGAGGAAATCCTCCAAGTGGAGGAGCCAGATGATAAGGTGGCTCTGGTTGCCTTTATTGTCGGCCTTCGCAACTCCAGCTTCATGTTCTCAGTCCTCAGAAAGTCACCCTCCAGCATGCCCAAGTTGTTGTCTAGGGCATAGAAGTATATGAATGCCGAGGACATTACCAAGGCCTGTCAGGGTGAGTCCTCTCGAGGAGGTGAGAAAAGGAAAGACGGTCGAGAAGACAGAAGGGAGACCGAGAACAAGAAAAAGAAAGCTGAGACAGTCTCCGTGAAAGACCGCGTCAGACCATGGCCACCAAGAGACTGACAACCATTCACTCCACTCAATGCCTCAGCGGAGCACATTCTTTTCCAAATTCAGGACAACCCTGCGATCCGTTGGCCTGGGAAGATGAAGTCTGGCCCGAATCGCCGAAATCCCAGTAAGTATTGTCGCTTTCACTGCAACCACAAATACGATACGGGTGACTACTTCCAGTTAAAGAAGTAGATCGAGGAGCTTATTCAACACGGCCAGCTGAGACAGTATGTCACCGGTTGAGGACCAACCCCTCCACGCGAAGATAGAGAGCACCAATAGCCCCTCGGTGAGATTCACACTATCGCCAGAGGGTTAGAAGGAGGAGGTGACTCCAACTCTACCATGAAGGTGCACGCCCTTAGAGCTAGACAAGTAGAGTCTCATAACTTTCGCCCGCTAAAGAAACCCTGACACGGAGAGGAGGAGGTCATCACCTTCTCAGCCAGAGATCTTGAAGGAGTCTAGGTCCCATATGATGACCCTCTAGTCTTAACCTTGATGGTGGCCAACTACCAGGTCAGGAGGGTCCTGGTCGACAGCGGCAACTCAGCCGACATCCTATTCGCCACTATCTATGACAACCTTCACCTTGGCAGAGAGAGACTATAGCCAATTAGGACTCCCTTAGTTGGTTTCTCAAGAGAGAGAGTCCAGCCCCTGGGATCCATCACCCTGCCTGTTACAACAGGGACTGCTCCTAGATGCTCGACTATAATGATAAATTTTCTTGTCCTCGATTACCCTTCTGCTTACAATATAATTCTTGGACACCCTGCCCTCAATACCTTAAGGGCAATACCCTCAACTTACCACATTCTCCTCCGTTTCTCAACCTCCAATAGAGTTAGGGAGATAAGAGGAGA